CAAAACTGGTTTGAGACAAATCTGGTTGAATGTAGCATCAGACTTAACTGACTGAGCTCAAACTGGTTTATGCAAGTTCTGTCTGAGACCCCTTCTGGGTTTAGGTTACACCAGAGTCACCCAGCATCCCAGCATGCTCTCCAGGCTGGGCTCTTTGCTCCAGCCCAGCAGGGTTGGCCCCACCCCTCTGCTCCCTAGCTGGATGCTGAAGCGGGGGGAATAACCCCCATCCCTGCTCCCTTGCCTAAGGGACCCTGCCGGCCAGCCTCTGGCTGGGCCCATCACTCTGCCATTGGAGCAGCAAGGGGGCAGGGCCCTTGACAGGGCAGCAGCCCCTGTACTGGTGTTCAGGGACTGCAAGCCTCTTCCTGGTGGGGGGGCCACAGCTACAGCAAGGTGGCACCAGGGCTCAGAGGCAGCCATAGCTACCTCCCCCCAGTGCTGCCGGCACCTCATCTGTCCCTGGAGGACTGCAGGGAGTGCTCACGCTGACCACTGCCATCTGTCCCCTCCTCCAGACTCCAGAGAGAAGGGGAAATAACCCCCCTTCCTGCCCCCTGCCTAAGGGGCCTATGCCAGCTGGCATTTGGCCATGCCCCCAGCCCTGCTGCTGCAGCAGCGAGGGGGGAGCTCCTGGTGGACCTCAGCTTGGGGTCTATGCTGGTGGGATGGGGGTGGGGGAGGAATTAATTACACACCCCAGCACAGCTTCCCTGCAGTTGAGGGCCGCTCTAGCGCCTCCCAGCTTCTGGCCTGAGCCACTGCAGGCATGTGCCTACATTTCATCTATTCACTTGCAAATTGTTTCAATCTAGACAGGTTAGACTAACCTGAAAAGATTGAATCAATTCAGGCTCTGTCTTTTTGAATGTCTGTCCCTAGACTAATAGTTAAACATTCCTGCCGCTCCCAGCCCCTCATTCACCTCCCTCTGCTTCTGCCTGTCTCGGTTCCTTCCTTCTCCCTACTGACAAACATCCTTTCTCTCCTCTTCACCTACCTGCTGTTCGCGTTTGCTACTGGAATTCTGCTACCCATATCCTTATTCCTATTCCTTACCTGTATGCACCTCCTGTTTCCAGATTTCTGTCCTCCTTACTCGCTGAGCTTCTGCATCTGAATGTCCCTTCTCTATAGGGATGGTGTACATTCACTCTGATTGGTATGTAAGTCTGAGAAATAATGGAGCTGGCTCAATGTAGATGGGTATTTCAAATGTAGCTGCAATAGATTCTAGCTAATACCGTGAGTGTGTGCGAACTGAGATTTTTGTAGAGCCTTACCAGCTATGAAATTTGGCAGATATGAATATAGTAAAAAAATGTAAATTAAAATTAATATTCAAGATGTAAGTAATCCCTCCTTACCAAACTACGTTTCTGCTCAAACGTTTTTGTGCTACATCTTCCTACTGAAAACTTAGTAAGATATTTTTAATATTGGCAATTTTTTTTTTAATATTGGCAAACTTACTCTCAAAGATACCTGAAACTTTCAGAAAAAATGAGTTCAAGGCAGAAATCAAAGTTGAAAAATCCTTATACGAATTGATTGCATTTGGCAACAGTTTATGCACCTTAAAATATGGTCTATAATAGCAGGTGCCCTGAAGTATAGGAATTGCTACCTGTGGCCTATAATAATTGTAGAGATTGGCATTAAATCTTTCAAATACTCATAAATTGTTGCTTATCTAAAGCTATACTGAGCAGTTTGTGTCCTGGTCATGGGTTTTCATATATGTGTATTTATCAGTCTGGCACCAGTATCATATTCTGTGCTGCTCAATCCTCCTATAACAACAGTCATGTTGTCTTTTACCTCCACATTGCTATCGTATCTTGTTAAGATTATATAATTGAAGTCTGTAATTTTTATGGATTTCAGAGTTCTCAGTGAAGATTGAGAGCATGCATGGACATGCAAAGCGGTAGCTCAAATAAATGAATCTTATGGCTGCTAACTGATAGTGCCTCCAGGAATATCTAGTAAATCTTAATCAAAATGGAAGTAATCTTTATTGAAACCTAGTAAGCGGAGTCCTTCCTATGGTTAACATATTTACCAAAGCACCCAATTTCTTCTGGTTTCTCTATACAGTAGGGTCATTAATTAATCATTTTCTCTTGCTAGTAATTACTGATCACTTGAGAATTGTGGTTTAATTATATAGGAATCATAAGTGGAAGCTAGGGGGTGTATTCCACCAGGCAAATGATAGGACCCTTGGTTTATTTTTACTTTAAATATTCTGTGCTTCTTTATTTTTGCTGATTTTATTTGCTAAGTAGGTCTGGTAAAATATGAATTACTGTATTATTGCATGTGATACAAGGTACACTATTGTGAGCATTGTAGACTGCAGGTGTAACAGATGTAAAGCAAGATTAACAGGATAGAGCAATAATTAAACCACAGACGGTCATCTAAAAAGAGAAAGGGTTTTCTTGTCCAATGCTATCATTACATGCAACTTAAGTTCTCTGTAAATATTTGTAAGAGCAATAAAAGCATGTTAATTTGGAAGAAAACACTCCAACGTGGACAGTTACTTTATGGATTAAAGTTCACTTTTTATAAATGTATAGGTTCACCGAAGTCATGCCATATGGCAGCATAGTTCATTGGCAATAGGGTCCTTGGTTTATGGATGCTGTGAGCTAAATGCCACTGAAAAAAAAAGAGACAACAGTTAATAGATATGCATTTACAGCAATGTGAATTGCCTATTCCCTTTGGGACAAGGAGGTTCAAATCATTAATGATAGTATTATAGTTGTTAAAGAAGTCCAGTTGTTCTTCAGCACTCTGCATCTGTGAAACATGATATCTCTGGGGACTGAGATTTCACTTTCCCTGGAGAAAATATAAAAGCAGGAAAAAAGAGAATGACTTCTGCTTGAGCAGAATAAACCTGCATCTACAAACGATTAACACTGCATAATGAAGTAGTAAAGAAGTAAGAGAGATTTCTAATAAAAGACTAATAACAAATCCCATTACACCATGGTGTATTTTTTTCCTTGAAGTGTATAAGAGTTTTAGCAAATCTTCTGAATTAGATTTGGGTAGTTGTGAGCAAAGTCAGCTCGAATGCTTCAAGCTTAACTGAGTTTTCGCTCCTAACAGTTTGTGTAACATGAAAGTTGTGGGTTTACGGGTAGGAGGGGTTGTTACTGCAAGTAATCGGCTTCACGCAGAGTTTGGATAATGTTTGTTTCACCATAGGATAATAGTTTCCTGTAGGCTAGGCACTGTAGGGTAATGTGCCACTATATGTTAAAACACCTTATATAGAACATTATCAGAATTAAATGTGGTAGATTAGCCTTGATTTGAGTTAACCGTACCTTTGACTCCTCTTTTGTAGCAACATTCAGCTCTAAAGATAGGTGTTTGTAGAAAGCAGTAGGAATGGGAAGTGGAGGGCAGCATGAATTCAATTTTATGGGAGACAAAACTTGACATGTTTGTCTTTTATTACTAGACTTTGTTGTCTCTAATAACTTTGCCTTTATAACTGGACATTATAGTGACAGTAATTCTTACATTAATGAATAGAAAATCAACATAAGGCAGGGATGGGATGATTTTATGTTCCAAGCTTACATATATATTTTGTTTCTAAACTGTAATATTACTTGTGAAAATCTGCTTCGTGATCTTCTGGCTATCCAGGAAGACTTTTTGAAGTGTACTGGGTCAGTGACCAAAGATCACTGACAGCTGTATAAAAGTTGAGAAGATATTGGAATGAAAATGTTGAGAAGTGAATTAAATCTGATTCATAGCATGAGCCCTTTATTAATAGACAGAGTCATTCAGTTATTATCTTCCTAAATTTGTGTTTGGCTGACATACATTGACTTGCATTTATACAGAAATTAACTTCTGTTACGAGAGTCAAATGAACTGGTACCTTACAACTACAATGACCTCTGTATTATGGTTAACAGGTTTGGAAGTAATCTTAAATAATAAATAAAATACAATCTATATCTATGGAGTTAACTGATGTGAATTCTAGCGGTCTTTCCAGGGCTTTCCTGTGGTGTCAACTGTCAGTGTTAAAGAATAGCTTAGTTTCCTTGCAGGAAAGTTCTAATAAATTTATTTTCTCTTTCCACTGACTAAAAAATATATAGTAAATACTAGCTTGAATGAAATACTAGCTTACTGTGGCTAAGATGGTAATAATTGCCTTTTAAGTCTATTTTGAAATAACTAAAATATTAATATTATAAGTTATTCTTCATATTTTTCAAAGTTAACATTTAAGTTGATCCTTGCTACGGGCCTGAGGTAAGTAGGTAGTAGCAGTCTGACTTTTTGATGGGAAGCTAAGACACACACAGGTTACATGACTTTTGAATCCACAGAGCAAGTCAGTGGCAGAGTTAGCATTAGGAGATAGGAGATTTGGGTGAAAAGTACCAAGCTTAGATTGCTGTTAGATTTTCAACATTGAGCAAATATTGCAAGTAATCTAGATGGGTATCCATATTTTATTGAATATGAAACCAATATGACATATTTAATCAAATTGATACGCATCATATTTTGCTCATACCTGAAAACACTATAATTACAGAAAAAGAGGAGGCCCGTTTCAGGTAATTTATTCAATCCCATAATGACAGCTATTTTATATCTGCCTCAAAATTATCCTTTGTCTGGACTTCTTACGGGTCCTCTTAAACTATGGCCTCATCCTGCCTTCCTGCTTTCCAGGTTTCTGTGAATGATATTTTCTAACTTTCTTCTTAAATCAATATGAAAGTAAACATGCAAAAAAAGATAATATGCAATCTGATGTCAGTTTTATCCATCAAGGCCGATCTATACAACGTTAATAAAAGCTTTTGCAGTACTTAGTGCATTTCTTCCCCTAACCCTATTGGTATGTAAAGAGTATTTCCCAAAACAAAATTATTAATAAATGTTAAAGGAATTATTTATAAATACTAAGTGCGTACTTTTTTTTCCTTTTCTTTTTTTAGACGATGGGTTAGACTGCTTTTTGGACGAGAATTTCCACTTCAAGACCTTCTTGTTGTTTGGGACGCATTATTTGCTGACAGCATCTCTCTTGATTTAGTTGACTACATTTTTGTAGCTATGTTGTTATATATTAGAGATGCCTGTAAGTATCAATCATCTTATGTTCTTAAAAAAGGTACTGGACACTCCTAGCTTTACAGAAGGGAGGTTTGGGAGGGGTGAAATTCCTAAGCTTCATCATTTTTGTGTGTTTTGTCTAACTGAAAATTCTTTAAAATGTGAACTGTGGTAGGAGCCACTTGTCATCAGATGTGAATATTATGAAATAGATTGAATATTGTAGCTGAAGTCAAGACTGCTTTATGAATAGTTCTGTCTTTATAGGGAATTGTAAATTTCATATATAAAACACAGTGGTACAGATATGTATAGAGCTCCACCTTCTGACAAAGCTGACGTATTGAGTAAATCTTTTGACGATGAAAATATTTTTATGCTGCAGTTTATATGAGGAATAGAAAATGTTAAACAGTGTCTCAGACTTTTAAGAAACAACAGATAATAACTTTCTGAGATCACATGAAGAAAATTTGAATATGGAGGCAGGTCACAGGCTTATTCCATGCACAACATTTAAAAATAAAAAATTATTTTTAATAAACGCTTCTGAAATTTGCCCAAAGGTGAAAGGTTATTGAGCTAATGAATTTCAGAAAAAACATGACTATGTCATGACACATAAAATATTATAATTAAATTGACACTCCTTATGTAATCGGGGGGAGAGAGAAAGAGATGAATTGATTAAGAATCTCTTATATGTAGACTCAAATAATGTTTTAGTAATTCAGTATGAGTATCAAAATGGATGTCATGCCTTTTCACAATTAGAGGCATTAGTAAGATAGTATATGTGAATTTTTATTGCAAATTTGTCACACTTATAAACTTATCCATGGCCATCAGCTTAAAACAGTAACACAGGTCTGACAAGATCTTGCATTGAAGAATGCACAAAGTTCCAAATATAGCTGTGCCTGGTATTTTGGGGCCCAATCTTGAAAACGTATTCCTGTGTACTTTTGATGTGATAATTTCCTGACAGAAATGGAATGACTTTTGTTTGTAAAATTATAGCATATATAAGTATTATCAGAGCTAGGAAGCCCTCCTGAAGAAGCTGCCATTGAATTCAGTTTAGAGGCTTTAAAACGTATGTTTCCATTTCAGAATGATCTGATCCAAAGCCATTATGTTCTATAATGTAAATCTGACTTTTTTTTTTTTTGGCTGCATTAGGCTGTAGTAGTCCTAAAGATTTTGTTGTAAAAGTGCACTGCAGATGCACAGTAAGACTTAAAGATCAATATTTTCCTTATCATTGTTCCCTTTTAAAAAGGCATGCTTTAGAAATGTGTTATCTGCCCACACAAGTACTTCCAAACCTTTTGGTTTCTTGTAGTATTCAAATACATGCACTGGCATAAAGTAACTGTTAGTTGAAAAGTTGTTCTGGGCATCAGTAAAAAATCAGGATTTTTCTTTCTTTGAAATTCCTAGCCTAATACAGACTTAGTAAATAATAGCATTTGCAATTAGAACAAGTTTACCAAACCAGTTATTCTGTATTTTTAATTTGTAGCAGGGTACCTAAGGCCTAAGATAAGTATTTTCTGTGGTAAGTGAAAATAATTTTTACCTGATATTCATGTAGACATGTTTAGTTCTTTTTTTCAGCTGACTAGGATAGTAACATCTAATGTAGTTAACCACAACTACTACCATAAAAACAGAAAACATAGTCAAACCTGGTCTCAAAGTATGGAGTTTGGGTTTTTTTTACATATCTTGAGAATGGGAAGAGTCAAAAAACATTTTTCTTTTCTTCCACCTAAACCTACTGTGGTTTGTTTTTTTAACTTGCCATCAGGAGTTTTTCTTCAGGAAGGTGTTTCGGTTAAAGTTTTACTCTTTACTCTTATTAGAGGTTTAATGAGGGGAAAGGTGGACATTTAAATAGGTAGAGGTTGTACAACTATGAAAAATACATTGCAATGACATGTTCATTATAGAAGATTACAAATGTTTAAACATATCCCCAGGCCCCATTCAGGAAAAGGGTTTAGAAGCATTTATTTTGTGACTTTTTCTTCACTGCATATGGTTCGCTGTATATGCTTGTAAAACAAAAATTAAAAAAATAAGTTAATCTTTTCTTTCATAGGAGAAAGAACAAACTAGACGAGATATGAGGCCATTGTGAGGACATCAGGCTTTTAACTTTAACTGAGCCAAAGTTATGTTACTGTAGACCAGGCACGTGTCACTCATTTAGCCCTGCAGGTAAATTGAGGGTCACTGGACTGGTTTGTGGGCCAAATGGAGCCACAATGAAGCCAAAGTACAGGGCAGATCCAGTGCGGTGCCACATGAAGTATGCACCCATGCCAGCTTCCGCTGTTGCAGGTAGCACACATGGCCACTCCAGCCCTATGTGCTGCGTGCAATGTCAGCCCCACTCCAGAGCTTACTCTACCTAGGGTGTATGAGGAGCACATGCTGCCTAAGACAGCAAATTTCCATTAAGGCATTTTTTGCTTTGATATCAGACTAGAACAGGGGCAGGCAGTTATTTTGGGCAGAGGGCCACTTACTGAGTTTTGGCAAGCCATTCAGGGCCGCATGATAGGCAGCCCAGGGCAAATAAATATTAATTTTCTAAATTTTTTAGGGGCTCTGCAGGCCAGATAGAATGGCCTGGCAGGCCACATCCAGTCCCCGGGCTGCATTTTGCTCACCCCTGGGCTAGATCTACTTGGAGACTGAGAGTAGTGACTGACTGAGTTTCAGAAAATGGTTCATTAGTTCTGCCTAATACGTAAACAACAAAAATGTTACCAGCTTTCCTTCTCTTTTTAATATTTTACTTCTTTCTCCATCGTTTCCCAGATTTTTTTTAAAGTTTTGAGACTCATCCATTCCTAATAAGTCTCACTTTCTTTTTTTTTTTTTAAATGCCAGTTCGTATCAGATTGTTCAACGCTGACCTTCAGAATTCTACAAACAGAAGAGGGTTGGAAAGTTAGACCTTTCTGGTGCATCCACTTCTTCCTCCCCAGCACCCCAATGACTCTGTGAAGAGCTGTAGAGTTTTAGTGTATAATCATGTTCTAGATCAGGGCACAACTGGCCTGGGAGGAATTAGCCCACAGGCTCCTGTCCAAGTGCCACTCCTCCCATGGCTTTGGCTGTTGCAGTGGCAGGCAGGTTCCCTGATGTAGAACAGCACAGCCAAAGGCCAGGTGGGGAGCTTAAACAGTAGTAGCTAGGGAGGGAGAGATTGCCCACATGATGGTGGCCATAGGGGCTCTCGCACAGTTTGCATTGCAACAGCAGTGGGGGTAGGGAATATTGCCTCTGTGGTGGTAATGTCCAGGGAGGCAGGGTGTTGCCAGCATAATGTTGGCAACAGAGGGTCTGCATTTAGTGGGGGTCCTGGGAAGCCTGTAAAGCCCCTGGGGACATGCAGTTCTCCCAGTGTGCAGCCATGGTCCTGCAACCTGTGGCAGGCAGCCCCTGGCTACTCTGAAGTTGGGCAGTCCTGTTGTAGACTCTTGGACTGACCATTCCATACAATGTAATAACTAGAGACAACAAAAGATTTCCTTAAGCAATAACTAGATATAATTGGTTAGATCTTTGACTTGAATTGAGTTGGCTCACGGTAGTACAACGCATGTTAAGTTTTTCTCTTTTCCATTTTCAGTACTTCAGTGTCTAAAATATTATTTTTCGATAACAAGTCTCTAGTCCTGCTGGTTTGCCAAGAAAATTTTTCAAATATAAGCTAAGAAGTAATTGTACCAACACGCTGCATTAATTGCCTGACATACAGTCTGAAAAAAAGCCATGAAGGCTGTGAAATGTGTCTAATTCTAGTAGTAGTACTGTTGCTAGGAGTGACACTTTACTGTTTAAAGGGAAGAGTTTTCTAAGTTCTCTTGAGTTTTAAGTTCTAATATCCACATGATTATTTGAATTGTCTGATATTTGCCATGTCTCAAGAGGATTTGGTTTAGGATTCATGGTTTGAATTGGAGATTGGTCAAGAAATTTTTCTGAAATAGAGTCCCCCTTTTCTTTTAAAAATATTGTGACATCGGTTTTGTAGTTCTTATAACTTCTTCTCCCCACTCATTTTGGTTGAAAACCAGAATTCTGATCTTTCCCAAACTTGGAATTTATTTCAGTTGGTGTCAGGAACTTACTTTTCCTTTGGAGAAGCAACATCCTGTATGTTATTCAGAATCAGTTTGCATGACCCAGATAAAGACAAACGTACAGCAGTACAGGAGCTTGTTTTAAGTTGATCGTTGTCGATAGCTTGAACCTTAAAGGCACCCAACTGCTCTGAGTTAAGCAGCATTCTGAAAAGTGTTGTGGACATTAGTTATTTGGATTCTGCAGGAATTCCACCTGGAATCTTTGCCCTAGGACCAAAGCTTCACTTTTGAAACATGCAATGTGATCCTGACCCTGTTCTTGAGCAGTAGGCTTGAGTTGTGATTAAAAAAAAAAAAAAAAAAAAAAGCAAGTCATGGGAATGGGCTTCAGAAGAACTGGGTTCAAGATCTTTAGAGACCTTGTACTCCAGTTGTTAGCATGTGCTAGCCATGCCAGCAGGTTTTCACTATTACTGTTACTTAGGCTAGCTAAAATAAGCTTATACAGGGATAAAAACACATGTTATAATTGCCCCTTCTTTTTGCTATGTCCTCAGAGAACTAAAGTGTCTCAACTGCACCTCATAGAGAAGTCATTGGGCATGATGGCAGATTTTAGCCTGCTTTATCCATTATGCATTATTCCTCTTTGTCCCAACAACTGCTTTACTGGAAGAGCCTTCCTTGTTCTCGAAGACTCTAATGAATTATCAACAAAGAAAGGAATGTTTCTAAAGGGTAGAGGTAGAGATTCAAATAATTTCTAAGGCCCTTGGAACTCCTTGGTTCAGCTGTGCCAGACACCAGCTTCAGTATTGAGCTCTGTGCCAGTTCTTCCTCTATCCATAAAGACCACTGCCTGCCAGGGGACCATATGTGCCTATCAGAGTCATAGTTTCTAGGGTCGGAAGGGACCTGA